ATATATTTTTTATATATATATCTTTTATATATATATATATCTTTTATATTTATATCTATCTTTTATATTTATATATATCTTTTATATTTATATATATCTTTTATATTTATATATATCTTTTATATTTATATACATCTTTTATATTTATATATATATCTTATATGCATATATATTTTATATATATTTTCTATATTTTTATATTATTATTTTTTTTTATATATATTTTCTATGTTTTTATATTATTATTTTTTATATATATTATATATATATTTTTTCTATGTTTTTATATTATTTTTATATATTAGTATATTTATTTATATATTAATATTTATTATATTATGTTTTTATATTATTATTTTTTATATATATTATATATATATATTTTTTCTATGTTTTTATATTATTATTTTATATATATATATATATTTTCTATATTTTTATATTACAATTTTTTTTATATATGTTATATATATATATTTTTTATATATTTAATTTATTTTTTTTTTAATATGTATTTTTAAATGGTTTTTTTTTTTATGTCTTATTTTGTTTTTTTTATTTATATTGCTTTTAAATATTGCTTTTATATATATTGCTTTTGTATATTGCTTTTATATATTGCTTTTATAAATTGCTTTTATATATTGCTTTTATATATTGCTTTAATTTATTGCTTTTATATATTGCTTTTATATATTGCTTTTTATATATTGCTTTAATATTATAGATTTATATATATAAATAATTTTTATATATTTCTTTTTGTATTGAGTTTTTTAATGTTTTTCTTATATTATGTATTTTTATTTATACTGGGCTTAGAAATTGTATAATTTTACAAATATTTTAGAGCTCTTTTTTTTAGCTCGTGAAAATTGAATGACATTGCTTAATAATATTAAATATTCACAAATTTTTTTACCAAAATAAATTCGCGACTTAATTTTAAAATTTTGATAAGATACATATTTACAGTTCTAAAAATATACTGAATAATGTTAGGTTAAAAAAAATAATACTACGTTTTAAATGTACATTGGAGTTGTATATATGTATGTATATTTTTTTTTTTGGTTTCAAGTAATAAAAAAACAAATTTTACCTCACAAATATTTTATGGATCTTCAAATGGAATTTTTTGTTTTATCAAAAAAGTGATTTATTTTTTGATATCATCAGCTATTTTTTGATTTTTATATTTGTTATTTTTATTGATAAGACAATAGAAGAACTTAAAGACATAAAATAATTATTAATGACGAACATGATGGTATATACATATGTGTACATAATGAATACATTAAACAGAAGACGTTATGTTTTTCGTATTTGTTTTTCATTATCACAAAAAAAATTAAAAAAGAAAAATATTTTAGGTTATATTATTTACCTTGTTGCAAAATGTCGAAATAATTATTCCATTAAAATGCAAAGTATATTCTTTTCTATGTATTCGTGTTATTAAGAAAGAGACAATGCGAAGAAAAATCATTAAAGCTATAATCAATGTTTTCATTCACGAAGTGGTGAGTAGGGTGTGGTGGATACTGCATATCATTTGACGCGATTAAAGCTAAAGCTTGCCTTCAATTTGGTTAAAAAAAGTGCTCTGCCTTTTGTTTTTGTTGTAAAAATTGCGGGGTTAAGTAGCTTTAATAAAAACAATTGTTGTACTTATTATATTTTTTGTGATAATATTAAAAAAAGTTGTCTTTTTTTTTAATTAAATTAAAATTTCAGAAACATTTTTAGTACCGAATGTTAAAAATGTCAAAATTAAATTTTAATTAAGAATATTAATTTTTATTACTGTAAGTTCGTACGATTTTATATTAAAAAGCACAGGTCGTAGAGTTTTTACGATATTTAAAAAAACGAAATGAAAAGTCAAAAATCGACATAAAGAATATCAGAGCAACATAAATCCATCTAGAGCAATGATAGTTTGTTTCTCTAGAGCATATTAATTCTTATAACACTTGTAAAAAAAAAAAGCATTTTGGTTTAGTAATGGCAATCCTATTTTAATTGCAATAGATTGTGAAATTGCACGCAAGACTATTATAGTACTACCTTTTTTTTTTTTATTAGTACCAAAAAATTTTGTAATAAAAAAAAAATGCATTAAGAATATAAACATTTCTATATTAGAAACGCGTTTTATTTCCTAAATTAGTCATTTTCTCTCTAAGTCCTTGATATTCCGATATCAAAGACTTAGTCTCTGTTAGTTAATTTTAATCGCTTTTTATTTTTTAAATATATCTTTATCTTATATTTTTTTTCGCATAAAATTGTATTCAAATGAATAATTTTATAAGCCATAAAATATATTAATAATTATTAAAACTAAACCAATTTTTCTCGCTTTTTCTTTGTAGCGAAACCCCAGTAGTTGAAAAGATCACTGCAGAGGATGTAGATAGTAAAGAGTTGGCAGAGGAAGTCGATGCAGCCACTGAAAACGGTGCTGAGGAATCTGCTGACGCAAAAGAAAATGGTGATTCCACCGGTGAAGCTGAAGTTAGCGATGAAGCACCAGATGCTGCCGACGGTGAGAAGGGTGATGACGACGCAGCAGCTGATGGTGAAGATGGTGCAGAAGAAAATGGCGATGAAGGTGTTGCCAAAGAGGCCAACGGTGAAGCAGCCGGTAAATATCATAATATATAATATCATATATAATATCATATATAATATCATATATAATATCATATATAATATCATATATAATATCATATATAATATCATATATAATATCATATATAATATCATATAATAATATAATATTATATTAATATAATATATAATATCATATATATATATATCATATATAATATTATATAAATATCATATATAATATATATATATATCATATATAATATCATATATAATATCATATATTTAATATCATATATAATATCATATAATATATAATATCATATATAATATCATATATAATATCATATACAATATCATATATAATATCATATATAATATCATATATAATATCATATATAATATCATATATAATATCATATATAATATCATATATAATATCATATATATAATATTGTACATATTATTTTTTTATTTTATAAGCCATATTTTTACTATAGTTCTAGTAAATAGTATATAATTTCAATAGAGAAATGAAATTATGTTGTTCAATGGCCTTAAAGAAATGGACTTAAATTGAGTCAACGCAATTTCAATATTAATATATTCTTAATACAGTGTCTAACATTCGCAATAACATTCAATCCCAGATCCATGATTTGATATATTGTTTTTTGAGTTAGTGATATTTTTTTGAATTTTTGTATGTCACTTAAATCAAGAAATCAGCACTCAACAAATAAAGTGTTAAAAAACTTTTATTAAATAAGTTTTTATATATACATTACATAGGTTTTCACATATATATAACATCGGTTTTTACTTATATAACATAGGTTTTTATATATATAACATAGGTTTTTATATATATAACATAGGTTTTTATATATATAACATAATATAGTTTTTTATATATATAATATAGGCTTTTATATATATATAACATAGTTTTTATATATATATAACATAGTTTTTATATATATATAACATAGGTGTTTATATATATATAACACATGTTTTTAAATATATATTGAATTGGGCTTTTATGTATATATTTAATTGGGTTTTAATTTTTTTTATGAAAAAATTTTTTTTATAAAAATTAAATATATAAATAAAATATTTTTTATAAAAATTAAATATATAAATAAAATATTTTTTATAAAAATTAAATATTTTGTATAATAATTAAATATTTTTTATTTATAATTAAATATTTTTTATTTATAAATTTAATTTAATTTTAATATTGTATATTTATTTTAATTTTTAAATAAAGGTAATTTTTATAAATAAATCAAATAATTTTAAAGTATATTAAAATGATCTTTCCTTTTTAATGAAATAAGTTAATAGCATACGTTTTGTAATCATTATTACTATTTTACTTAAGAATAACATATTTACGTATTTATATAACGATGAAAACTCTTCCAACAGAACGGTATTGGGTGGATGATTTTCTGATTACATTTTTTTTAAGACAATATTTTTTAGGACAATTTTTTTTTAAGACCATATTTTTTAGGACAATTTTTGTTAAGACAATATTTTTTAGGTAATTTTTTTTAAGACCATATATTTTAGGACAATTTTTTTTAACATTTGGAACAACTTAGCGAAACACATACCTTGAATAATTAATAGGAGAGTTTTCACTGTGTGATGTTGTTTTGAATAGATTTCTATAATATATACAAAATATTTTATGTGTAGAAATTTTACTAATATATTTTTATTTATTTTGCAGAAGCAGTCAAGCGAAAGGTAGTTGCCGATTCTGATGGCAAGGTTGATGATACTGTCCCAACCCCAGAAAAGAAAGCTAAGCTAGACGACTCAGCATCAAAAGAAGAAGCGCAAAACGGTGCGGAAGGGACCGAAATAGCCGCTTAATTTAAGTTACAATCTTATTATCCTTTAATCTTAAAATAATAATTTAAAGAAAAAAATTTCAAAAGAAAAGAAAAATTAACGACAGTATAAAATTAAAAAAAAAATAGTATGTAATTGTATGTGTACGCTGAGGAATGAGACAAAACAGTAAACTATTTTACAAAATACAAAATTGAATAGTTGAGATAATATCAACATCAAAATGTAACACCTCACCTTATTCCTATGTAACCATATGTATAAAGAAAACAAATCTACAAGAAGAAAATATAAGTAATAAACAAAACAAAACAAATGTAACTTAAAAAAAAAAAAATTTGTACACAAACGAAAAACCTGTAAAGATAGGATTGTTCCAAAAAATCACATTGTTCTTTTTTTGTTTTTGTGTTTTGAAGTATAACACTTGCTATTAATATTAATATGTATTTAAAATACGGTGTTTTGGCAGGCAAAGCGATAAATAGCAGAAGAAAATTCTGGTTTCATTTGCACCTTGATTGAGTGATGAACCGTCCCACCAACCACAATACACCGACAAAGTAATAACTTTTTATTTTGGTACTTATTTTGAACTTGAACCAAATGACAAAAAGCGATCATATCACGTGTAATGCATTTAATTTTACAACACGCACACAAACTTTAAAAAACTACCGTAAAATTTGAAAAATTCGACTTGAAAAGAAATACTTGTGATTTTAGGAACAATCTTCAATCTCAATAAAATGTTTCTAAAAAGATTTTTTATAAGTTTAAAAAAATTTATTTTAATTTTCGAAGATACAATTTTTTAAGTTTTTTTTTTCTTATATCTATTGTATGTACTATTATACGGGGACAGTTTGATAATTCAGTGGGCTGAATTTCTCGTGTATCTTTAAATGCAAAACTGTTTCAGTCATCCACTAACTGTTAATAAACCACTGTATTATTTTGAACGCATTAGCGTTATTTATTTCACATTGTGAATTTTAACCAATTTAAAAAAAAAAAAATGAATTTCGTGTGTTGGTTCCATTAAGCATCCACGAAACTAAAAAAAGAATTGACAAATACTATTAGAGAACTCCACACCCAACAATTTCAGCGGCTGAGAAATAAATGGTTTTCTAATTTCAGAAAAGGTCATTCAGCCATTCTAACTTTTGAAAATGATGCGCTTAATTGGTGAGGAAAATGTCACTGAATTATGAAATAGTCCTCGTATACTAAATTGTATTATGCTGTATTTAACTAAACATAATGTAGAGGATAAGGGGGAAACATTTCTTTATTATTACAGCTTAACATAGGGATAACACACTATAATATAGTGAATAATTCTCGCATTTATAATGTTAAAAAGGGTTTTCCAAATGGCATTTATTATAAATACAATACAAATAAAATAGTTTATAAAAGAAAAAAAAAAAACATGTATGAGATGTGATCAAAAAGTAACGAGAATTTCTTAAGTATGCGTGCTTTATTCTGTTTATGAATTAAAATAGTTTTTTGTGTATTAGTTACACTGACGATAACGTAAGTGCTAACTGTATAGGGTAGTTTTTGTACTTAAGGTTGAATTAGTTGTGCCGTAAGTTGACGCTTTCTAAATTGTGTAAAGTAGCGCATTCAATTATTGGTGCTGTAACATAAAAGCAAAACTTAGGCATCTGTCGAATTTAGACTGCAATGAGGAATATAAACCATTTCTTTGTGTGGTAAATGTTAGGTGTTCAGTTGGAACGGTGTTTGCAATGTTATATGACTACTTCAACTACCTAAATTTTTTTGCTTATAGATTATCTACATTAACTAATTTAAGCCTAAAGTTCGGGTTTTTTTAGCTAAGCGAATATGCAACATCGTATTTCAATCAATACGATGTTTTTTCTTTTTTTTTTTGTCATCAGAAAGTATAAAGTTTTGTATTGGAATCCATATCGGATTTGGTGTAGCATTTAAAATGTCATCAACACTTTCGACGACAACCGCAAGTTTATAAACGATTTTATGGAGATCGAAAGGGTTCAGGCGTCCTGAAATCTATTATAATGAATTTTCTTTTTAATGGGGGAATTACCGTTATTAAAATAGTGCAATTACGTGTGTAAAATGACTCTTTGAAGGTCGAGTTTTACTCAAACGCTTTTTAATTCATGATGGAACGTGGATTGTGCAATAAGCTTGCACCATATAGTTATCAAAAGTAAAGCAAAACATGTTTGATACGTTTATTGCTTTAAAAATAACAATATCTAAGTCTAAGTCCGCTGGTTTATTTGAAAATATTCATCAAGTATTAAGTACAATCCATGTCAGGGTCGTGCAAGAACTGCATCAACACTAGAAATTGCCACAAAAATGGAGGATAAGATTTTGACGATACAGTTATTAAATCGAAAGAGTGTTTTAGTAAAGGCTCTAGGCATTTTAATAAAATCAATAATCTAGAGGTTAAGTTATCTTATTCAAGTTCTTCGAATTTGCTGTTAGTTTACATTCAGGAATCACTTTATGACGTGTAGCAAGAATTTTTTTTGAGATGCAAAAGTAATGTTATTGGACGATGTCCTCTAAAATGGTAAATAACAATAAATATATTTAGTACAAATTGAATGGACAAATTTGTGAAACAGAAGATAAACAGCATCGCTATAATGTCGTAAATGCCATTCTAGTCTAGAGACATGACTCTGCTTTATTTTTCAAATTCTAACTACAATGTTTTTCAATAACAGATGATACAGATGGGCGATCCTATCTAGAGAAACTACGGAGGAATGAGTGCATAAAATGAAAGATAAACTACTTTGACGGGGTAAAATTCAGGATATACTTTAAGCACTCTTTGAAACAATTGAAAATGCTCGTTACTTTTCAATCACAATTCGTATTTAATTTAAATTCTTGTAGCCAATTTGTTGAATATATATCTGACCTTTTTGATGCTAATTGTGGTAAAATTTCTAATTCAGTTTAGGAGTATAGGAGGAAAACTCACAGATTACGTTTGTACATGAATGCTTCAACTCGGTTTGGAGTATTCTTTTCCTTTAGCTACGGCTACCGGGTTTGAAAAATGTTTGTTGCAATATACATCCAACAACTATCATCTTACTCTATTAATATAAAACCTATAATATTGCGATTTGGGAAACTCACCTTCCTTAATAGTTTTTACAGTAAAATAATACAAGTAACTGCAATATTAATTAGTTTGTATATGAAAACCTGAGGGTTAAATTTCTAACATACCAAAAGTTGTTCAATACAAAAAAAAAAAAACAAAAAAAAATAATTGTAAAAGAAAACTGTTTCAAACACATGTTTATCTTAAGGATCCCTATTACTACTGTTAAGCAACGTGGAGGGACGCGACTGAAGGGATCCAGATAACTTAAAATGAATATTTCAAAACTAGATTAGTCGATACCTTCTTAATTAAAAAGAAGGAAACAAAAAAGAATTTCAAAATAATTCATAATAAATGAAGATTTGATATAGGTTTTTGGTGAGGACTCGTTATAGGCAATGCGTTTCTCACGTTAAAGTAAAAAGCCTACGATGATTTAGATTAGCCGTCTAATATTGAAAACCAGAATATCTGAGTTTTCTTTAAGATAGTTAAATAAAGTCGCGGAAAATATACATTTTAAGTCGTCCGGTTTGTCAGATTTGTGTATATCCACTTATTCGGAACTGGTAAGACACATGTATACATGTGCATATCCAATAAAGGCTATGTTTTTGCTTTGATTAAAAAGTTTATGGATAGATGACATATATGCATAAGATTATCCTGGTATTCTCGGTGTTCTACCATTTAACTGCAATTTTTATCATGAAAAATGACAGGATTTTTGATCTATTCATTTTGGTTTTAAGGTCACTTCTGTCTGTCTCGTTTGAAACGTTGTAAAACATAGAACATAGAAATGAAAATAAACATTCAATGGAAAATATTTTATTTTAAATAAAATAAAACCATAAATACTATTTTGTATTGTTTTAAATGAAGCTAACTGTTAGGTTTCCTAGATCTATATATGTACTTATATTGTAGAATAAACAAGGAATTAATTTTATACATAAGTTTTTTTTTTTAATAATGTAATTTTGTGCTCGATTTAAGATTTTGGTTTATCACTAATTTCTTTTTCTACTCCAAGGAGAGTGTCGAGTAGCACTCAGTTATCACAGATTTCATTACTCCAATGAGAGATTTTCTGAAACGTCTTTTTTACGGAGAGTGAAACATTATTAAGGATTATTAGACACACTTAGTCGTCCATGATGATGAATGGTTTTAGGATGCTTGGATTTATTTAATCAAATATTTACAGTTAACATATGGATATTTGGAAGATATCTAATGCACCAGTGTTTATTTGTTAAAAAGTCTAATAAATTTGCAACAAATTTATTACTACAATTGTCTTAAACATCCGTTACGATATATAGGTGAGGCAATTATTCTGTTTTTAAGGAAATCTGCTTTAATCCATCCAAGTGCATCCGAATATTTAATTGTGCAAAGCAGACTCTCAATGGCTCAGATCTTGAATATGATGTAACAATAGCGAAGGTATGACATATGCATCAGAGAATTGAAATGAGTACTCAACACTCGAATCATTCACTGTGTTTCATTTATATACATTCTGACTTTTTTTTCACCTGATTCATACATAGAGCATAGACTGCACTTAAACACTTCTCATATAATACTTATAAACACCGACATTCGACACGAAATGAATTCAAATGATTTATGAATCATTTACAGTTAAGAGAAATTTGCTTGTTGTTGTTTACTGTGCAAATAATTTCCTACACAGAGTGTTCTGGAAGTATAGAAGGAACATTTTTCCAAAGTTCTATCTGGCGATAATAACATTAATTCTGTTTTTGGACAAATGGTCTCGGAATCTTCAATCGAAAATAATGGTGTTGAAATTCCACTAGCTACCCATAGCGAAGTGCGTGTTGCAATACAGCGACTATGCAGCAATAGAGCGGTAGGCGCAGAGAGCCTACCTCCAAAATTGTTTCAAATCGGTGGCAATTAAGTAAGTAAGTAAAACGAAAATGGAGGTTCTTATTACATTTCTCAAACTTTTAGCGACCACAGACAGTATAAAATAGAAGATGTTGAAGACCATATAAATAGTAAATATGCTGTACATTTGCCTGTGCGTTTATCCGAAAATGTTTCCCTCAGATCTTGAGCTAAGCAAATAAAACTTCTTAAAGGGATTTTTTATAAATTCAGTCAGTTAAAACCAACAATAGTACAGAAAAAATATTACAAATGATGAGGCATTTATGGTATATATATATAATTTTATATATACATAATTTTATATACATATAATTTTATATATATATATTTTAATTTTAATTTTATATTTATATATGTATATATAATATATATAAATAGCGTGTGTAACGGCAATTTTTATACCCCTATTTAAAATAAACATTTATTATATATATATTCATTCCTTTATTTAACTTAAATTGAAATATATTTGTTTCTTGATATATCATATTTTAACAACGAAAAATTTTATACAAATATTAAAATATATGTATTATATATACGCGTAGTTCAAATTATAAAAATGTTGACAATTATCCCTGTGATTTCATTCATCAAAAGAGGGATTCTTTGAATTCCGCTTAGGTTTAGGGACTACATCCAAGTGATTTTATTGATAGCCAAACCAAAAGAGAGATTCTTTGAATTCTGCTCAATCTTCAGAAAAATTAAAATAATAAGTAACGAAAATTAAATGAAAGTTTTTCGTATTAAAAATAATAATATAATATGTGTGACCACTTAAATAACGGAATAAATTTAAAGTAAAATTAGGCACAACTCATTTATCAGTATGAAGTAAACCAAACACCCAAATTTCTGGTCTTCTAATGAGAAGACTTTTTGATAACCATTATTTCTGTATTTAAATGTTGTAAGTGATAGGTTTAAAATTGATCCTTTCTTCGGACAATAAAGCACTCCCCAGACTAAATCCACTACTCACAGTCTATTTTACATTTTATAAGATCATATCTACTCACACATAGTGTACAGGACTTCCAATATTCAATTTATGTGTTAAACGGTTCCCGATTAAGACTATGACGTAATGAATATAAAGTAAATCGGAAGTCAGTACAAAATACTTTAAAAGCGTCAACTAATATCCTGGATATCATGTTCTTAGTTTTCTTCTCTTTAAAGTTTGGCTACGAATGTGATGCATTCTGGTAATATTTAGATTCAAGTTTGTCATCGAGTTCGAATGAAGATGTCATCTAATATTTTGTTAAGTTTCTTGGATGAAAAATAGGAATAAAATAAAGTTATCAATTATAAAAGTATCTGACTACATCATCAATAACTAAAAAAATTTAAACTACAATTAGGCACAACTCATTTACCAATATGAATTAAACCAAACTTACCCAAATTTCTGGTCTTCTAATGAGAAGACTTTTTGATAACCATTATTTCTGTATTTAAATGTTGTAAGTGATAGGTTTAAAATTGATCCTTTCTTCGGATAATATGGCACTCCCCAGACTAAATCCACTACTCACAGTCCATTTTACATTTTATAAGATCATATTTACTCACACATAGTGTACAGGACTTCCAATATTCAATTTATGTGTTAAACGGTTCCCGATTAAGACTATGACGTAATGAATATAAAGTAAATCGGAAGTCAGTACAAAATACTTTAAAAGCGTCAACTAATATCCTGGATATCATGTTCTTAGTTTTCTTCTCTTTAAAGTTTGGCTACGAATGTGATGCATTCTGGTAATATTTAGATTCAAGTTTGTCATCGAGTTCGAATGAAGATGTCATCTAATATTTTGTTCAGTTTCTTGGATGAAAAATAGGAATAAAATAAAGTTATCAATTATAAAAGTATCTGACTACATCATCAATAACTAAAAAAATTTAAACTACAATTAGGCACAACTCATTTACCAATATGAATTAAACCAAACTTACCCAAATTTCTGGTCTTCTAATGAGAAGACTTTTTGTTAACCATTATTTCTGTATTTAAATGTTGTAAGTGATAGGTTTAAAATTGATCCTTTCTTCGGATAATATGGCACTCCTCAGACTAAATCCAATACTCACAGTCCATTTTACATTTTATAAGATCATATTTACTCACACATAATGTACAGGACTTCCAATATTCAATTTATGTGTTAAACGGTTCCCGATTAAGACTTTGACGTAATGAATATAAAGTAAATCGGAAGTCAGTACAAAATACTTTAAAAGCGTCAACTAATATCCTGGATATCATGTTCTTAGTTTTCTTCTCTTTAAAGTTTGGCTACGAATGTGATGCATTCTGGTAATATTTAGATTCAAGTTTGTCATCGAGTTCGAATGAAGATGTCATCTAAGATTTTGTTAAGTTTCTTGGATGAAAAATAGGAATAAAATAAAGTTATCAATTATAAAAGTATCTGACTACATCATCAATAACTAAAAAAATTTAAACTACAATTAGGCACAACTCATTTACCAATATGAATTAAACCAAACTTACCCAAATTTCTGGTCTTCTAATGAGAAGACTTTTTGTTAACCATTATTTCTGTATTTAAATGTTGTAAGTGATAGGTTTAAAATTGATCCTTTCTTCGGATAATATGGCACTCCTCAGACTAAATCCAATACTCACAGTCCATTTTACATTTTATAAGATCATATTTACTCACACATAGTGTACAGGACTTTCAATATTCAATTTATGTGTTAAACGGTTTCCGGTTAAGACTTTGACGTAATGAATATAAAGTAAATCGGAAGTCAGTACAAAATACTTTAAAAGCGTCAACTAATATCCTGGATATCATGTTCTTAGTTTTCTTCTCTTTAAAGTTTGGCTACGAATGTGATGCATTCTGGTAATATTTAGATTCAAGTTTGTCATCGAGTTCGAATGAAGATGTCATCTAAGATTTTGTTAAGTTTCTTGGATGAAAAATAGGAATAAAATAAAGTTATCAATTATAAAAGTATCTGACTACATCATCAATAACTAAAAAATTTTAAACTACAATTAGGCAAAACTATTTACCATATGAAGTAAACCAAACTTACCCAAATTTCTGGTCTTCTAATGAGAAGAATTTCTGTTAACCATTACTTCTGTATTTAATTGTTGTAAGTGATAGGTTTAAAATTAATCCTTTCTTCGGATAATATGGCACTCCTCAGACTAAATCCAATACTCACAGTCCATTTTACATTTTATAAGATCATATTTACTCACACATAGTGTACAGGACTTTCAATATTCAATTTAATTGTTAAACGGTTTCCGGTTAAGACTTTGACGTAATGAATATAAAGTAAATCGGAAGTCAGTACAAAATACTTTAAAAGCGTCAACTATATCCTGGATATTATGTTCTAAATTTTCTTCTCTTTAAAGTTTGGCTACGAATGTGATGTATCCTGGTAATGTTTAGATTCAAGTTTGTCATCGAGTTCGAATGAAGTTGTCATCTAATATTTTGTTAAGTTTCTTGGATGAAAAATAGGAATAAAATAAAGTTATCAATTATAAAAGTATCTGACTACATTATCAATATTTAAATAAGTTTAAAGTACAATTAGGCACAATTCGTTTACCAATTTTACTTCATGTAAACCAAACTTACCCAAATTTCTGGTCTTCTAATGAGAAGAATTTCTGTTAACCATTATTTGTGTATTTAAATGTTGTAAGTGATAGGTTTAAAATTAATCCTTTCTTCGGATAATATGGCACTCCCCAGACTAAATCCAATACTCACAGTCCATTTTACATTTTATAAGATCATATTTACTCACACATAGTGTACAGGACTTCCAATATTCAATTCAATTGTTAAACGGTTCCCGATTAAGACTTTGACGTAATGAATATAAAGTAAATCGGAAATCAGTACAAAATACTTTAAAAGCGTCAACTATATCCTGGATATCATGTTTTAAATTTTCTTCTCTTTAAAGTTTGGCTACGAATGTGATGTATCCTGGTAATGTTTAGATTCAAGTTTGTCATCGAGTTCGAATGAAGTTGTCATCTAAGTGTTTGTTAAGTTTCTTGGATGAAAAATAGGAATAAAATAAAGTTATCAATTATAAAAGTATCTGACTACATTATCAATAATTGAATAAATTTAAACCACAATTAGACACAACTCATTTATCAATATGAAGTAAACCAAACTTACCCAAATTTCTGGTCTTCTAATGAGAAGAATTTCTGTTAACCATTATTTCTGTATTTAAATGTTGTAAGTGATAGGTTTAAAATTAATCCTTTCTTCGGATAATATGGCACTCCTCAGACTAAATCCAATACTCACAGTCCATTTTACATTTTATAAGATCATATTTACTCACATATAGTGTACAGGACTTCCAATATTCAATTTATGTGTTAAACGGTTCCCGGTTAAGACTGTGACGTAATGAATATAAAGTAAATCGAAAGTCAGTACAAAATACTTTAAAAGCGTCAACTATATCCTGGATATTATGTTCTAAATTTTCTTCTCTTTAAAGTTTGGCTACGAATGTGATGTATCCTGGTAATGTTTAGATTCAAGTTTGTCATCGAGTTCGAATGAAGTTGTCATCTAAGATTTTGTTAAGTTTCTTGGATGAAAAATGGGAATAAAATAAAGTTATCAATTATAAAGGTATCTGACTACATCATCAATAATTAAATAAATTTAAACCACAATTAGGCACAACTCATTTATCAATATGAAGTAAACCAAACTTACCCAAATTTCTGGTCTTCTAATGAGAAGAATTTCTGTTAACCATTACTTCTGTATTTAAATGTTGTAAGTGATAGGTTTAAAATTAATCCTTTCTTCGGATAATATGGCACTCCTCAGACTAAATCCAATACTCACAGTCCATTTTACATTTTATAAGATCATATTTACTCACATATAGTGTACAGGACTTCCAATATTCAATTTATGTGTTAAACGGTTCCCGGTTAAGACTGTGACGTAATGAATATAAAGTAAATCGAAAGTCAGTACAAAATACTTTAAAAGCGTCAACTATATCCTGGATATCATGTTTTAAGCTTTCTTCTCTTTAAAGTTTGGCTACGAATGTGATGTATTCTGGTAATGTTTAGATTCAAGTTTGTCATCGAGTTCGAATGAAGTTGTCATCTAAGTGTTTGTTAAGTTTCTTGGATGAAAAATAGGAATAAAATAAAGTTATCAATTATAAAAGTATCTGACTACATCATCAATAATTAAATAAATTTAAACCACAATTAGGCACAACTCATTTATCAATATGAAGTAAACCAAACTTACCCAAATTTCTGGTCTTCTAATGAGAAGAATTTCTGTTAACCATTACTTCTGTATTTAAATGTTGTAAGTGATAGGTTTAAAATTGATCCTTTCTTCGGATAATATGGCACTCCCAGACTAAATCCACTACTCACAGTCTATTCCACATTTTATAAGATCATATCTACTCACACATAATGTACAGGACTTTCAATATTCAATTTAATTGTTAAACGGTTCCCGGTTAAGACTTTGACGTAATGAATATAAAGTAAATCGGAAGTCAGTACAAAATACTTTAAAAGCGTCAACTAATATCCTGGATATCATGTTCTAAGTTTTCTTCTCTTTAAAGTTTGGCTACGAATGTGATGCATTCTGGTAATATTTAGATTCAAGTTTGTCATCGAGTTCGAATGAAGTTGTCATCTAAGATTTTGTTAAGTTTCTTGGATGAAAAATAGGAATAAAATAAAGTTATCAATTATAAAAGTATCTGACTACATTATCAATAATTAAATAAATTTAAACCACAATTAGGCACAACTCATTTACCAATATGAGGTAAAATAAACTTACCGAAATTTCTGGTCTTCTAATGAGAAGAATTTCTGTTAACCATTACTTCTGTATTTAAATGTTGTAAGTGATAAGTTTAAAATTGATCCTTTCTTCGGATAATATGGCACTCCTCAGACTAAATCCAATACTCACAGTCCATTTTACATTTTATAAGATCATATTTACTCACATATAGTGTACAGGACTTCCAATATTCAATTTATGTGTTAAACGGTTCCCGGTTAAGACTGTGACGTAATGAATATAAAGTAAATCGAAAGTCAGTACAAAATACTTTAAAAGCGTCAACTATATCCTGGATATCATGTTTTAAGCTTTCTTCTCTTTAAAGTTTGGCTACGAATGTGATGTATTCTGGTAATGTTTAGATTCAAGTTTGTCATCGAGTTCGAATGAAGTTGTCATCTAAGTGTTTGTTAAGTTTCTTGGATGAAAAATAGGAATAAAATAAAGTTATCAATTATAAAAGTATCTGACTACATCATCAATAATTAAATAAATTTAAACCACAATTAGGCACACCTAATTTAGCAATATGAAGTAAAATAAACTTACCCAAATTTCTGGTCTTCTAATGAGAAGAATTTCTGTTAACCATTATTTCTGTATTTAAATGTTGTAAGTGATAGGTTTAAAATTGATCCTTTCTTCGGATAATATGGCACTCCTCAGACTAAATCCAATACTCACAGTCCATTTTACATTTTATAAGATCATATTTACTCACACATAGTGTACAGGACTTTCAATATTCAATTTATGTGTTAAACGGTTTCCGGTTAAGACTTTGACGTAATGAATATAAAGTAAATCGGAAGTCAGTACAAAATAATTTAAAAGCGTCAACTAATATCCTGGATATCATGTTCTAAGTTTTCTTTTCTTTAAAGTTTGGCTACGAATGTGATGTATCCTGGTTATGTTTAGATTCAAGTTTGTCATCGAGTTCGAATGAAGGTTTCATCTAAGATTTTGTTCAGTTTCTTGGATGAAAAATAGGAATAAAATAAAGTTATCAATTATAAAAGTATCTGACTACATCATCAATAACTAAAAAAATTTAAACTACAATTAGGCACAACTCATTTACCAATATGAATTAAACCAAACTTACCCAAATTTCTGGTCTTCTAATGAGAAGACTTTTTGATAACCATTATTTCTGTATTTAAATGTTGTAAGTGATAGGTTTAAAATTGATCCTTTCTTCGGATAATATGGCACTCCTCAGACTAAATCCAATACTCACAGTCCATTTTACATTTTATAAGATCATATTTACTCACACATAATGTACAGGACTTTCAATATTCAATTTATGTGTTAAACGGTTTCCGGTTAAGGCTTTGACGTAATGAATATAAAGTAAATCGGAAGTCAGTACAAAATACTTTAAAAGCGTCAACTAATATCCTGGATATCATGTTCTTAGTTTTCTTCTCTTTAAAGTTTGGCTACGAATGTGATGCATTCTGGTAATATTTAGATTCAAGTTTGTCATCGAGTTCGAATGAAGATGTCATCTAAGATTTTGTTCAGTTTCTTGGATGAAAAATAGGAATAAAATAAAGTTATCAATTATAAAAGTATCTGACTACATTATCAATAATTAAATAAATTTAAACCACAATTAGGCACAACTTATTTACCAATATGAAGTAAAGCAAACTTACCCAAATTTCTAGTCTTCTAATGAGAAGACTTTTTGTTAACCATTATTTCTGTATTTAAATGTTGTAAGTGATAAGTTTAAAATTGATCCTTTCTTCGGATAATATGGCACTCCTCAGACTAAATCCAATACTCACAGTCCATTTTACATTTTATAAGATCATATTTACTCACACATAGTGTACAGGACTTCCAATATTCAATTTATGTGTTAAACGGTTCCCGATTAAGACTATGACGTAATGAATATAAAGTAAATCGGAAGTCAGTACAAAATACTTTAAAAGCGTCAACTAATATCCTGGATATCATGTTCTTAGTTTTCTTCTCTTTAAAGTTTGGCTACGAATGTGATGCATTCTGGTAATATTTAGATTCAAGTTTGTCATCGAGTTCGAATGAAGATGTCATCTAATATTTTGTTAAGTTTCTTGGATGAAAAATAGGAATAAAATAAAATTATCAATTATAAAAGTATCTGACTATATCATCAATAACTAAAAAAATTTAAACTACAATTAGGCACAACTCATTTACCAATATGAATTAAACCAAACTTACCCAAATTTCTGGTCTTCTAATGAGAAGACTTTTTGTTAACCATTATTTCTGTATTTAAATGTTGTAAGTGATAAGTTTAAAATTGATCCTTTCTTCGGATAATATGGTACTCCTCAGACTAAATCCAATACTCACAGTCCATTTTACATTTTATAAGATCATATTTACTCACACATAGTGTACAGGACTTTCAATATTCAATTTATGTGTTAAACGGTTTCCGGTTAAGACTTTGACGTAATGAATATAAAGTAAATCGGAAGTCAGTACAAAATACTTTAAAAGCGTCAACTAATATCCTGGATATCATGTTCTTAGTTTTCTTCTCTTTAAAGTTTGGCTACGAATGTGATGCATTCTGGTAATATTTAGATTCAAGTTTGTCATCGAGTTCGAATGAAGATGTCATCTAATATTTTGTTAAGTTTCTTGGATGAAAAATAGGAATAAAATAAAATTATCAATTATAAAAGTATCTGACTATATCATCAATAACTAAAAAAATTTAAACTACAATTAGGCACAACTCATTTACCAATATGAATTAAACCAAACTTACCCAAATTTCTGGTCTTCTAATGAGAAGACTTTTTGTTAACCATTATTTCTGTATTTAAATGTTGTAAGTGATAAGTTTAAAATTGATCCTTTCTTCGGATAATATGGTACTCCTCAGACTAAATCCAATACTCACAGTCCATTTTACATTTTATAAGATCATATTTACTCACACATAATGTACAGGACTTTCAATATTCAATTTATGTGTTAAACGGTTTCCGGTTAAGGCTTTGACGTAATGAATATAAAGTAAATCGGAAGTCAGTACAAAATACTTTAAAAGCGTCAACTAATATCCTGGATATCATGTTCTTAGTTTTCTTCTCTTTAAAGTTTGGCTACGAATGTGATGCATTCTGGTAATATTTAGATTCAAGTTTGTCATCGAGTTCGAATGAAGATGTCATCTAAGATTTTGTTCAGTTTCTTGGATGAAAAATAGGAATAAAATAAAGTTATCAATTATAAAAGTATCTGACTACATTATCAATAATTAAATAAATTTAAACCACAATTAGGCACAACTTATTTACCAATATGAAGTAAAGCAAACTTACCCAAATTTCTAGTCTTCTAATGAGAAGACTTTTTGTTAACCATTATTTCTGTATTTAAATGTTGTAAGTGATAGGTTTAAAATTGATCCTTTCTTCGGATAATATGGCACTCCTCAGACTAAATCCAATACTCACAGTCCATTTTACATTTTATAAGATCATATCTACTCACACATAGTGTACAGGACTTCCAATATTCAATTTATGTGTTAAACGGTTCCCGATTAAGACTTTGACGTAATGAATATAAAGTAAATCGGAAGTCAGTACAAAATACTTTAAAAGCGTCAACTAATATCCTGGATATCATGTTCTTAGTTTTCTTCTCTTTAAAGTTTGGCTGCGAATGTGATGCATTCTGGTAATATTTAGAATCAAGTTTGTCATCGAGTTCGAATGAAGATGTCATCTAATATTTTGTTAAGTTTCTTGGATGAAAAATAGGAATAAAATAAAGTTATCAATTATAAAAGTATCTGACTACATCATCAATAACTAAAAAAATTTAAACTACAATTAGGCACAACTCATTTACCAATATGAATTAAACCAAACTTACCCAAATTTCTGGTCTTCTAATGAGAAGACTTTTTGTTAACCATTATTTCTGTATTTAAATGTTGTAAGTGATAAGTTTAAAATTGATCCTTTCTTCGGACAATAAAGCACTCCCCAGACTAAATCCACTACTCACAGTCTATTTTACATTTTATAAGATCATATCTACTCACACATAGTGTACAGGACTTCCAATATTCAATTTATGTGTTAAACGGTTCCCGATTAAGACTATGACGTAATGAATATAAAGTAAATCGGAAGTCAGTACAAAATACTTTAAAAGCGTCAACTAATATCCTGGATATCATGTTCTTAGTTTTCTTCTCTTTAAAGTTTGGCTACGAATGTGATGCATTCTGGTAATATTTAGATTCAAGTTTGTCATCGAGTTCGAATGAAGATGTCATCTAAGATTTTGTTCAGTTTCTTGGATGAAAAATAGGAATAAAATAAAGTTATCAATTATAAAAGTATCTGACTACATTATCAATAATTAAATAAATTTAAACCACAATTAGGCACAACTTATTTACCAATATGAAGTAAAGCAAACTTACCCAAATTTCTAGTCTTCTAATGAGAAGACTTTTTGTTAACCATTATTTCTGTATTTAAATGTTGTAAGTGATAAGTTTAAAATTGATCCTTTCTTCGGATAATATGGCACTCCTCAGACTAAATCCAATACTCACAGTCCATTTTACATTTTATAAGATCATATTTACTCACACATAGTGTACAGGACTTCCAATATTCAATTTATGTGTTAAACGGTTTCCGGTTAAGACTTTGACGTAATGAATATAAAGTAAATCGGAAGTCAGTACAAAATACTTTAAAAGCGTCAACTAATATCCTGGATATCATGTTCTTAGTTTTCTTCTCTTTAAAGTTTGGCTACGAATGTGATGCATTCTGGTAATATTTAGATTCAAGTTTGTCATCGAGTTCGAATGAAGATGTCATCTAAGATTTTGTTCAGTTTCTTGGATGAAAAATAGGAATAAAATAAAGTTATCAATTATAAAAGTATCTGACTACATTATCAATAATTAAATAAATTTAAACCACAATTAGGCACAACTCATTTACCAATATGAAGTAAAGCAAACTTACCCAAATTTCTAGTCTTCTAATGAGAAGACTTTTTGTTAACCATTATTTCTGTATTTAAATGTTGTAAGTGATAGGTTTAAAATTGATCCTTTCTTCGGATAATATGGCACTCCTCAGACTAAATCCAATACTCACAGTCCATTTTACATTTTATAAGATCATATCTACTCACACATAGTGTACAGGACTTCCAATATTCAATTTATGTGTTAAACGGTTCCCGATTAAGACTATGACGTAATGAATATAAAGTAAATCGGAAGTCAGTACAAAATACTTTAAAAGCGTCAACTAATATCCTGGATATCATGTTCTTAGTTTTCTTCTCTTTAAAGTTTGGCTACGAATGTGATGCATTCTGGTAATATTTAGATTCAAGTTTGTCATCGAGTTCGAATGAAGATGTCATCTAAGATTTTGTTCAGTTTCTTGGATGAAAAATAGGAATAAAATAAAGTTATCAATTATAAAAGTATCTGACTACATCATCAATAACTAAAAAAATTTAAACTACAATTAGGCACAACTCATTTACCAATATGAATTAAACCAAACTTACCCAAATTTCTGGTCTTCTAATGAGAAGACTTTTTGATAACCATTATTTCTGTATTTAAATGTTGTAAGTGATAGGTTTAAAATTGATCCTTTCTTCGGATAATATGGCACTCCTCAGACTAAATCCAATACTCACAGTCCATTTTACATTTTATAAGATCATATTTACTCACACATAATGTACAGGACTTTCAATATTCAATTTATGTGTTAAACGGTTTCCGGTTAAGGCTTTGACGTAATGAATATAAAGTAAATCGGAAGTCAGTACAAAATACTTTAAAAGCGTCAACTAATATCCTGGATATCATGTTCTTAGTTTTCTTCTCTTTAAAGTTTGGCTACGAATGTGATGCATTCTGGTAATATTTAGATTCAAGTTTGTCATCGAGTTCGAATGAAGATGTCATCTAAGATTTTGTTCAGTTTCTTGGATGAAAAATAGGAATAAAATAAAGTTATCAATTATAAAAGTATCTGACTACATTATCAATAATTAAATAAATTTAAACCACAATTAGGCACAACTTATTTACCAATATGAAGTAAAGCAAACTTACCCAAATTTCTAGTCTTCTAATGAGAAGACTTTTTGTTAACCATTATTTCTGTATTTAAATGTTGTAAGTGATAAGTTTAAAATTGATCCTTTCTTCGGATAATATGGCACTCCTCAGACTAAATCCAATACTCACAGTCCATTTTACATTTTATAAGATCATATTTACTCACACATAGTGTACAGGACTTCCAATATTCAATTTATGTGTTAAACGGTTCCCGATTAAGACTATGACGTAATGAATATAAAGTAAATCGGAAGTCAGTACAAAATACTTTAAAAGCGTCAACTAATATCCTGGATATCATGTTCTTAGTTTTCTTCTCTTTAAAGTTTGGCTACGAATGTGATGCATTCTGGTAATATTTAGATTCAAGTTTGTCATCGAGTTCGAATGAAGATGTCATCTAATATTTTGTTAAGTTTCTTGGATGAAAAATAGGAATAAAATAAAATTATCAATTATAAAAGTATCTGACTATATCATCAATAACTAAAAAAATTTAAACTACAATTAGGCACAACTCATTTACCAATATGAATTAAACCAAACTTACCCAAATTTCTGGTCTTCTAATGAGAAGACTTTTTGTTAACCATTATTTCTGTATTTAAATGTTGTAAGTGATAAGTTTAAAATTGATCCTTTCTTCGGATAATATGGTACTCCTCAGACTAAATCCAATACTCACAGTCCATTTTACATTTTATAAGATCATATTTACTCACACATAGTGTACAGGACTTTCAATATTCAATTTATGTGTTAAACGGTTTCCGGTTAAGACTTTGACGTAATGAATATAAAGTAAATCGGAAGTCAGTACAAAATACTTTAAAAGCGTCAACTAATATCCTGGATATCATGTTCTTAGTTTTCTTCTCTTTAAAGTTTGGCTACGAATGTGATGCATTCTGGTAATATTTAGATTCAAGTTTGTCATCGAGTTCGAATGAAGATGTCATCTAATATTTTGTTAAGTTTCTTGGATGAAAAATAGGAATAAAATAAAATTATCAATTATAAAAGTATCTGACTATATCATCAATAACTAAAAAAATTTAAACTACAATTAGGCACAACTCATTTACCAATATGAATTAAACCAAACTTACCCAAATTTCTGGTCTTCTAATGAGAAGACTTTTTGTTAACCATTATTTCTGTATTTAAATGTTGTAAGTGATAAGTTTAAAATTGATCCTTTCTTCGGATAATATGGTACTCCTCAGACTAAATCCAATACTCACAGTCCATTTTACATTTTATAAGATCATATTTACTCACACATAATGTACAGGACTTTCAATATTCAATTTATGTGTTAAACGGTTTCCGGTTAAGGCTTTGACGTAATGAATATAAAGTAAATCGGAAGTCAGTACAAAATACTTTAAAAGCGTCAACTAATATCCTGGATATCATGTTCTTAGTTTTCTTCTCTTTAAAGTTTGGCTACGAATGTGATGCATTCTGGTAATATTTAGATTCAAGTTTGTCATCGAGTTCGAATGAAGATGTCATCTAAGATTTTGTTCAGTTTCTTGGATGAAAAATAGGAATAAAATAAAGTTATCAATTATAAAAGTATCTGACTACATTATCAATAATTAAATAAATTTAAACCACAATTAGGCACAACTTATTTACCAATATGAAGTAAAGCAAACTTACCCAAATTTCTAGTCTTCTAATGAGAAGACTTTTTGTTAACCATTATTTCTGTATTTAAATGTTGTAAGTGATAGGTTTAAAATTGATCCTTTCTTCGGATAATATGGCACTCCTCAGACTAAATCCAATACTCACAGTCCATTTTACATTTTATAAGATCATATCTACTCACACATAGTGTACAGGACTTCCAATATTCAATTTATGTGTTAAACGGTTCCCGATTAAGACTTTGACGTAATGAATATAAAGTAAATCGGAAGTCAGTACAAAATACTTTAAAAGCGTCAACTAATATCCTGGATATCATGTTCTTAGTTTTCTTCTCTTTAAAGTTTGGCTGCGAATGTGATGCATTCTGGTAATATTTAGAATCAAGTTTGTCATCGAGTTCGAATGAAGATGTCATCTAATATTTTGTTAAGTTTCTTGGATGAAAAATAGGAATAAAATAAAGTTATCAATTATAAAAGTATCTGACTACATCATCAATAACTAAAAAAATTTAAACTACAATTAGGCACAACTCATTTACCAATATGAATTAAACCAAACTTACCCAAATTTCTGGTCTTCTAATGAGAAGACTTTTTGTTAACCATTATTTCTGTATTTAAATGTTGTAAGTGATAAGTTTAAAATTGATCCTTTCTTCGGACAATAAAGCACTCCCCAGACTAAATCCACTACTCACAGTCTATTTTACATTTTATAAGATCATATCTACTCACACATAGTGTACAGGACTTCCAATATTCAATTTATGTGTTAAACGGTTCCCGATTAAGACTATGACGTAATGAATATAAAGTAAATCGGAAGTCAGTACAAAATACTTTAAAAGCGTCAACTAATATCCTGGATATCATGTTCTTAGTTTTCTTCTCTTTAAAGTTTGGCTACGAATGTGATGCATTCTGGTAATATTTAGATTCAAGTTTGTCATCGAGTTCGAATGAAGATGTCATCTAAGATTTTGTTCAGTTTCTTGGATGAAAAATAGGAATAAAATAAAGTTATCAATTATAAAAGTATCTGACTACATTATCAATAATTAAATAAATTTAAACCACAATTAGGCACAA